TGGGCCATGTTGAGGGAATGGGACACTGCCGGCTCCAATTTAAACGAGAATGGATGAAGCAAAATAAAAAGGTCAAAAATGAATATGATTCATAATCAGTTTTGCCTTTGCTAGATGCTGAGGCGCATTTCTCCTAAGAATAGTAGGGATCCTTAGAGTAGGTTTAATTTGGTCATTTTTCTTCCCTGTTGATTTATGCTTTCATAAACACAGGAGGTCAGAGCAAGTCTCAGGGAAGGTGATTTATTTACATTCTATGCCTATTGGCTTTGGATGCATTTAAGATGTGTTAACAGAAGTCAACCAGTCAGTGTGTAATTCTGATTTAACATAATATTTAAAAATCAATATTGCTAAAAAGAAAAAAGGCATTCTTTTAAAGACCTATTTCCAGTACCTCACATTACTACCCAACTTCTAAATCAAAGCCCTTTTCCAAGTTGGAGGAAGAAGAGGGTAAGCAAGTGTTGATTTTGACATATTCTTCATTTCTCTTCCAACTCCACCAAAAATAAATTTTTGACTAAGAAACTGTGATTGAAAATGAAACGTAAATACCATCTACTAGATGTCTTCTATGATCCTCAATTTCAAATTTCTTACACCCACAGTACGAACTGTGAAATCAATTTCAACAAATACCTGCAAGAAGTTGATTTCAGAACAGAAACTCCAAAAGTTACATATGGGCCCTCAAAACACAAAACAGCTCTCTACCAGAGGAGTTGTTATTTAGTTTCTGAAGGGAATTTAGAGGAGAAAAAAAAAGCAGTTGAATTTTTAAACAGATGTTAGATTTCTAACAAAAATTTCCAGGGAAGAAAACACAGGACTATGAAGTTGAAAAGCATTTTGCAGAGCTCTGAAAATACTAAATATCAATCTATGGTTCATATTACTGCTACTTCCAACTCCAGTGTTTATTTTTGGATTATGTCATACTGCTAATCAGTCTACTATATTATGACTTAAAATTTATCATATTTCTAATCAGTTTACGAAATACGTTTTTATCAAAGGAAGCTACCATAGCAAGAAAACAGCTCCATACAGCACCAGGGAAAACAGCATCATGGAAAAAAACTACCTGAACAACAACAAAGATGCCCGACTTATTGTATCCATCACACACAAAGCAAATTCATAACCAAATCTAATGGCATTAAGTTTGGAGTATTAACAACGATCACCAAATAATGATTAACACACAGTGTTGCAAAAATGTCGTTGTATATTGTCTCTCAGCAATTCAGCATAATATGCTAAACCCATTTTTGCATTTTGAGAAAGGCAAGTATCCTCCCTTTCAGATGCATGCATAAGAAGCACTTTATTAATCAATGGGGTCTCTGGAGTTTTTAAATTTCTTAATGATTGTTCCCCAAACTAGTCTGGAATCACCAGTCATCCCCTAGTGCTGCCTAAGAATTAAGACAATGGCAAATGACTTCTGTCTACTACAGACTGAAGCCAAGAAAGTTCTATCTCCTATCATTCACTGCCTCAACAACTGCTCATCCATCACAAGACCTCCTCCCCAAAGAGAACAAAGAAAGAGCAGAAGGATCCATACGTACAAAAATACATTTATAGCAAGGTTACTGTTGTTCTTGTTTTGTTGGGGTTTTTTTTTGGGGGGGGGTTGGAGGGTTTTTTGTAGTATATGAGAACTAGAAAAGGAAGGGTTGGTTGCTACTGACAGCAGCAATGGACACAACGTGTAGAACAAGACATACACTGCGGACATGAACAATGCAGGAGTTTGTTTTTCTTAACTGTGCATAGTTGTTTCTTTTTGGTTTTGTTTTCCATAGGGGAAGAGGAGAAGGTGGGAAGACAAGAAAATAAATGCCTGTTAACTGAAAAAAATAAAACATGATTTTAGAAACTCCTGGCATTTCAAGGGACAGTCAATGTCATGATCAGGTAGGTACGGATGCTCTTCAAAACCACTCAGCAGTCTGGCATCCTCATATATATTCAGAAATAGCAAATATTCTTAATGAAAGGAAGGGAGGCGGGAAGAAGGAAGAAAACCTGCCAAAATACTGAGGAGTTCTGAAGAGTATCCATACCTACCTGATGATGGCATTGACTGTCCCTTGAAATGCCAAGAGTTTCTAACAATAGTAGTCAGTAGGATTTAAATAGCATTTTTAAGTTTACAAAGTGCTTTACATACCCTATCATATTTAAATCTATTTGAGCCTTGTGAAAGAAGTACTACATATATCATTCCCATTTTAGGGATGAGGAAAACTGAAGCTCAGAAGTCACAGATCTGAACCCAAGTTTTCCTGACTCCAAGTACAGCACTCTACCCACCACAACATATGGCATAAGGAGTTCATATATATATATAATATATATATATTATATATATATATATATATAATATATATATATATATATATATGTATATATATATATATATATATATATATATATATATAAAATAGACATTCTCTAAGATTATGAATGAATCCCTTTTTCTAACTATAATATTCTGATGTTTAAAGTTTTCTATTTTGGATGATAACAAATATTAAATATATATAGGTATATATGAAAAACTATACATGTGTGTATATGTGTATATATCAAAGGCCCAGAAGCCAACAAAAAAGCCAAAACAGCAACAAATTAGTGTAAAGGCAACATTTCTCAAAAGTTATCTAAAAGTGGTTGGGTATGAGGGGAAAGGAGAGGAAGTGAACAAGTTTTCATATAGTACCAACTATAGGCCAGGCATGGTGCTAAGCTCTTTACAAATATTACCTCATTTGATCACTGGGCAGGGCAATTCCAGAATTCTCCCACTGTACTGTTTCTATAAACAACTTAACTGCTGACAAACAAGAACACGTACCAGGATTCAATTAGCCTAGCATGTATTTTATAAGCTTATACCTCTGTGTGTGTGTGTGTGTGTGTGTATATGTATGTATGTACGTATGCATGCATGTATGTATGCATGTCATTACCCTTATGTGTTAGTGCAGTTTTAAGATTCAATAACTTCAAAAATATAAATGTTACAAACTTAAAAGGTTATTTAACATTCTAAAAATTCAAAATATCCCTCTAGTCAACTTTCAGACACTGTAAAAATTTTACCAAGTAGTACTCAGTAACTGGAAAGAATGAATTTACAATCCTAGCTGTAAGATCATCCAAAGAATGAGATTTTACATGACAGTTTTGACATGACCCCAACAAGAAAATGATCAGGTGACAAAGGTGGCCACGTTAGAATCCCACCACTACCAATCTATGAAAGTGTCATCCAGAAACTGTTATACACATACTGTATAATGACAGAGTTCTCCGTCCTGTTAAAATTAAAAATGTGTCTCCTAGATAATATCCCTATCGAGTGACCATCCAGCCTCAAATGGGGGAGACCTTCCTCCAGGGTTGAAGAGCCAACTATCTCCTGAGGCAGCTCATTCTGCGTTAGGACAGTTCCAACTGTTAGGAAGCTACTTCTTTCATCAAGCTCAAACCCATCTTTTCCCCAGTAGATTCTCAAACCATCTCACTTATAGCAGTAATCATCACAAACCTGATTAGGCATCCCCTAGTGAAAACACCCCCTATCTTTGGTGGTGACAATAACAAAAGGCTTGGTGGCTCTCAAACACACTGAACTTGGTGGTTCGGTCAAAGAGAGAAATTTGTTGTTGATGTTGTTGTTTTTACATCAACTGAAGTTATTTCTTTCGGGAACAAATAACTAGAAAGTATAGGGTGGCAGATTTTCACTCAGCCCAAGGGTGAGCTTTCCATTAAGTTGGACCGTCCAGTAATGGAACAGACAGACTGGCTTGTGCAGAAGTGAGTTCCCTATACCATGGGATGATCCACTTTTATTATCTCATGGAGATTGCTTTCTTTTGAATGCTTAGCTTACTCAAGACACATTATTTGAAGACAGTGCTTCTTTAATAGCCTAAATGGAGTATGCTAGGTACATGGTATTACTGACTGTAAGGAGATAAAAGTAGAAATGCCCAATATTCTTAAGTGTGATATAAGCCAACAATCATTCTACAAATTTCAAAATCAATCCCAAATTACAAAACAAATGGGTTTTAATGCTAAGACAACACGATCAGATAATAGCAAATTTATCTTTCAAAGAGGCTAATTTCATTATGAAAAGATAGCTAAAACCATAGCTTTCCCACTGTCCACACTGATGCTCCCAGAGAGCAGGTAGACATAAGAACACAGTGCAATATCCTTCCTGGGAGCTGTGTATCTTTGAAAACGTACTCAAAAATAAGCAAACTAGAAGCTTAATTCCTCTTCAAATGTGTGATTTTACATTTTACATGAATATGTGCAATCCAAAAGCCAAGCATTTAATTTTCTGCTTTAATTACCTGAACCATCCAACAGGATTTTTTTAATCTATAATTTTTCCACATCAAAAGCTTCATTATATTTTCACGTTATTTTTTAAAAGTGCCTTTTATTGCATCTGCTTATGCCAATTTAATCAGTAATGGTTTCAAAGGAAATTCTTCATGTTGGGGTAGGGAGGTTTTTAGGGAAAAAAATCATCCCATGAAAAAACTGAAAAGGAAGTGACAAACTACTTCAGTATCTTTGCCAAGAAAACCCCAAATGGGGTCCCAGAGAGTCAGCTACAACTGAAACAACTCAACAACAACAACGCTTAATTTGATCCTGTGGGTGAGAAGTAAGGGAATGCTCTGCTGTCATTGTGGACAAGATGCTGCAGACTACTATGGGGTCACTGAGCACAGTCAACTTAATAACAAGAACGCTGGTATCCAGAAAAAAAAAAACATAATTGCCCCTTTTCCCAATGGGCAATAAGCTACCTAGCCATTCAACAGAGGCTGGGGAGAAACAAAGTACCTTCTGCCACTGAACTTTCCAAAGAGGTTTCTAGGAATGAGGATCCAGATTAGCCAACAAAACAAGGCAGGAGAACGTTCATTCTGGTCTATACCAAACATATCACTTACTTTTGCGAAGGATTCAAAAACGTCAAAGGCAGGTGGCAGTTGAGAGGCATTTTGGATCTCCTCTTTCAAGTAAAGTTGCAACGTCACAGCAAGATGCCTGAGGCCCTCCTTCTTTTCTTCACTTAGATTCTGAATGTCTGCAGAAAAGAAGAGAAAAAGACCAATCATGAACTGAAGTTACAGTGGATAATTTTCAGAATCTAAATGGCAGCTGTGCAGACAGACATTTTCTGCCCCAGATTTTATTCTGACAGAGGGCAAATACATCTCACTTTGTTTCCTGACAGCTATAAATCATCATAAATGCTTTATTCAATTTGAGTCTGCCAAATCTTACCTAAAGGTGATCAAAAGCCCACAGGCATGTTAAAAAAAAAAAAGTATGGATATACAGATGCGAGAATGTAAGAAATTAAATCTAAAATTAGTCAAGCTGTTTGTTTTCATAGAATCATGACAATTAGTCAGGACCTGAAAGGATCTCAGAGATCCAATCTGCTCATCAGACAGATCATAATCATTGATCCAGAGCTGCAAGGGACCTTAGGGATGATCAAGCCCAAACTTCTCATTTTATAGATGAGAAAATGAAGATTCAAAAGATTTCTGTGATTTTCCCAAAGTCACATAAATAGTCAGTAGCAAAACTGGAATTCAAACCGAGGCTTCACTTTCAAATCCAATGTTCTTTCCACTGCACCACAAAATCAAACTTGGACATTTCTCTGGACACTATCCCTTAGATATCATCCCTTTGTGAGACTGAGGGATGATAAGAATTCCAACTCAAATTAGTGACTGTTACAAGTCATCTGTACGTTCTGATTATGTATTGCAACGAAAATATTTTTGTATGAGAGGTTTCAAGACAGAAACATTTTCACTAAATATTATACAGACACATCAAGATACATCATTATCTTTTTGCTTGCTTGTCACATTCCTGAATTTTATGAAGGGAACCCCCTATTATGCACAGGTATAATATGACAGCATTTTTGGGGCCATATAAAGACACCCCCCCATATACACACAAAGTCAATCAATCAATCTATAATCACTTATCAAACTCATTATATGCCAGGTGCTGTGCTAAGCACTGCAAATACAAAGAAAGGTAAAAACAAATACCCTGAAGAAGCTCATATTCAAAGGAAGAAAATAACATGTAAATAAACAGATGCATACAAGATATATGTTCAAGACTACACATGGGCTAGGCAAACCCCCTTTCTATTCCCTAAAAAAATTAATATGCTCAACACCCTCAAAGCAAAGATCTAGGAGCAGAGATAAGCAATAACACCATGTCTCCTCATCAATTAAAACATCAGAAAGTCCAACGCAAAAATCAAGATCCAGTGACTTAGAGAAGCACCCTTGATGCAGGGCCCAATAAGCACAAAGACACAAATAATGAGCCACTATGCCCACTTTTTGCCCACAGATGCTTCACATTTTGTTCCAGAATGGGATTGCAGAAGCCCAGAAAAATCATAACCCCTGTAAAGAATCGAAGAAGTATCTGTTGGAGAGACAAACTAAGCTATACCTTTTCCCAATCAGGATAAGCTGCTGTGGGCATTACTGATACAGTGCTGAAGGTAAGTAAAATAAAGGACAGGTAAAAGGGTATGTGTACTATTTCATTTAGCAACAAACAATTTGTTGCAATCCATTCCATTATTAACAGCTCTAACTTTTAGATTACATTCTTATCATGAATTAATAGCTACATCCCTACAATTCCCACACAGTGGTCCTAATTCAGCCTCCTAGAACCACACGGAACGCATCAGTCCCTCTTCTAGTTGACAATTCAACCACATATTTGAAAAAAGCTACTATGCCCCTCCTCTCAAAAAATAAAATTCAAAAGAATACAACTGAAAATCATTCCAGGGAAGAATTTACAATAAGCATCTAAAAAGAATGGTAAGGTGGCACAAGGAAATCTCTGACGAGCTCAGATTTTACAGGAACCTTCTGATTTGCTCGTCTCAGAATGAGCCTTGCTGGCCCATGCCGGCCCCTACTGTCTCTCTTAGGAGTTTGTCCTTTTGGTCATCCCAACTCCCTATCTCTTTTTCAACCTCTCCTTATCTACTAGATCCTTTCCTGTTACCTACAAATATGCCCAGATCTTCCCCATCCTTTTAAAAACAAAACAAATCAAAACAAAAATTGTTTACCTGAATCTACAATCTGGTCAAGCTATTATCCTTAGAATGGGCTGCCTCTAACGGTGGTGAGGTTATCACCACCACTCCCCCAAAGGTCTTTAGCAGAGACTGAACAATCATTTGTTGGTTATATTATAGTGGTGATTCCATTGGCATGTAAATTGGGTTAGATAGCCACAGAGGCTTCTATCAACTTCAAACTTTGGGATTCTGTTATTTCTAGATTTCTCCTCACCTTTAAAACCAAACTCCTAGAAAACACAATCTATACTCATCGCACACACTTTCTCACCTCTCTGCTCCTCCACTCCTTGCAGTTTGACTTCTGACCCCACTACTTTATATAAACTGCTCTCTCCAAGTTCTCTAATGAGTTATTGCTAAATTTGGTGGCTCTTCTCAGGCCTTATCCTTCTTTCAACAGTTGCATGATTCATTTCCGCCACATTTGACACCAACGACCACTTCTACCCTTGGAAGCTTGATCTTCTTTGGGCTTTTCTGATATTTCTATCATGATTTTCCTTGAACCTGTCAGACTGATCTTTTTCAATTCATTTTGTAGGGTCAACATCCACATCCCACCTTTTAGATGTAGGTATGCCCAGGGCTCTGTGCTAAACCCTCTTTTCTTCTGTCTATATACTCATCAGTTCATATGGGTTCGACTATCATCTCTATGCAGATGACTCCAAACTTACATATGCAATCTTCATCTCTCTCCTCAGCTCCACTCTTATATAACTCCAGAGACCTGGCAGACATCTCTATCTGAATGCCCACTAGCATCAAATTCAACATGTCCAAAACAGAACAGATTATGTGGCCCCTAAATACTACAGTCCATTTAACTCATTTCTATCAAGGATACCACCATTATTCCAGGCAAACAGGAGTACAATAAGGACATCATCAACTCCCCACTCTTACTCACATTCCACACCCACAGAGCTGCAAAGTCTTAGCAATTCAACCTTCTTAACTACTCACAGATATTTCTTTTCTCCATTCACAAGACCACCAACCTAGAGAGGCCAGATCTCTTGTCACTACATCACATTATGCCTCAGATATTACCTTACTGCTTTAAATTAAAATCTCCAGTCTTGAACAAATTATATTTCAGGCTACTGAAAGATCTTGCTGATGTAAAAACAAAAGCACTGACTATAATATCTGAGCAACTTTGGAGGATGGGAGAAGTATCAGGAAATTAAAGATCCCAGAAACTGAATGGACCAAGGAATTTGATGACACCCTCAAGAGAAAGTCTACAATAGTTGGGGTTTTTTTCCCATCTGTTTTCATGATAAAAAACAATAAATTATTTGCAATGCTTAAGTCAATTCCAGCAGCTAGTAGCACAAATGGGCAGAACACTGGGCTTGGAATCAGGAAGACTCCTCTTTATGAGTTCAAATCTGGCCTCAGACATTTACTAGCTGTGTGATCCTGAGCAAATCACTTAAGCTCGTTTGCCTCAGTTTCCTCGTGTGTAAAAATGATCTGGAGAAGAAAACGGCAAACCACTCCAGCATCTTTGCAAAGAAAACACCAAAATGGGGTCGTGAAGAATGGGACATGACTCAAACAAACAACAACAAAGTCAATTCACTTCTCTAGGTATGTTGCTCCATATGTCAAATATCAAAGCGGGCCTAATGTTCTCTAAGGTCTTTTTCACATAAAGATTCTATGACTTTATGGTGACTTCTTTTCCAAGGTTCTCATTAGTTCTCCCTCACCAATCATTTCTTCTTTGTTGGTCAGAACTAAACCCAAAGTGGCATCTCATGGCATTGCCTCCTTTATACTTCCCAAGAGATAAATGAAGTGAAAGGCTGCTGCGACGCTCTCTTTTAGTGGTATGTGACCTCCAACAACCAACCAAATTGTTTATAAAGTCCCCCTCATTATTACACTTTAAACTCTATTATAGTTTATCATCCCTCTCCACTTGGCTAGGGGGTCTGAAGTATAGACTCACAACTGTATACTATCTACGTCTTCCCCCTTAATCCTCATTTAATTGTTCTCCATCATGCCACCATTCTCGGCTTCCTTTGATTCATTTCAGCAATACTGTTTTGGCCTACAGTACGATTCTATCTGCCACTGCATCAGAGTCATTCTTGAGAAATCAATATTATGTAGTTTTATTCTCATATTCCAGCTTTGAGTTCCATACTACCAAGTCTTGTGATATCTATGAGATTTACCTCTATGTACTAAAATTTCAAGTTCACTTGGTTTATTATCCATATTCTGTGCATTGATGTATAAGACATCTGAGGACATTGTCCTCCATGGTCTTGCCAGCCATTTTCCTTTATGAATTACTAGAACCCTTTTCCAACATTATATCATACCCACTACCTACAGTATCTGTTTGTTTTTATTTTTAAAATATTATCTAATGTGGCAAAGTCATCAGAATGCCAGCCTTGGATCCAGCAAGCCCTAGACTCAAGATCTACCTCTGATACTATCCCTGGACAACTCATTTAACCTCTCAGTGCACTAAGCAATTTTCTAAGACAATAAGTTGTGGAGAAGGTGCTGACTTGCAATAGTAGAGGCAGTCTGACACCTGAGATTTCCCTTTACCAAAGTGTCATGTGACCATTATCTTTATTTATCCCTATCATCCGACCACTTTTCTCCCTTCTCAAATTCCAGTTCAAGTTCAAGCAGAGACATGTTTCAAACATAGAGCAGGTTAGAAATCAATCATGAATAACTGCCAGCACATTAAAGACAAGAATGAAAAATAGAAGGGTAAAGCATTAAGAGGTTTAAATACAATCTAAGGGTGAAGCAGGTAGAGTAAGCAAGTAAGAAATGAAAAGTATTTAAAGAAGAAAATAAATGGGATTGAAGTTAAAGACAGAATAGGAGAAAATAAAACCACAAGGCCAAAGGTTAACTCTTGAATCACAGTGATTCCCAGGTTA